GAGCCCGGACGGATCCTTCCCGTTTTCCTCCTCCGCCGTATCTTAAGGGGTCCGATCCGTTCGGAAGAGTTGATGGTGTCGGGACGATGTCGTGCAGGATGCAAGAGTTTCTTCAAGCGGAGCGTCCGTCGGAACCTGACCTACACGTGTCGAGGGAACCGGAATTGCCCCATCGATCAGCATCATCGGAACCAGTGCCAATACTGTCGGCTCAAGAAGTGCCTGAAAATGGGCATGAGAAGAGAAGGTGGGCCTCATCCGCTACTTCCTGGTAGGATTATCCTTCCCGCAAGGGACAGTATAAAACCCGGGGCGAAGAAGGAAGGACGGATCCTCGTCGGACCCGCCCGATGCGTTCTTTCCCTCCCCGTCCGCCGTCGCGCGACGCGCAGGCCGAGTCGTCCGCGGGGAGAACGGACGGGACGAAGCGACGTTCTCGCGCGGACGTGCTCTGCATTTCCGATGGGGGTCGAGACGGCGAAGGAGAGAGAAGGGGAATAAAAAAAAAAGGAAAAAAAAGAGGAAGATACTGTAAATACGGGATACGTGTGAGGGAGGGAGAGAGAGGGAAAGAGCGTGTCTGGAGGGCATAAATGAGTTTTCGACGAGTCATCCTGAATCCGCGGATTTCCTCCTTCTCCATACCTCCAATTAGGAGGTTTCGCCCGATCTTCCTTTCGCCTCCGTCCTCGGAGGACAAAGGAAAAAAAACGTCCCGGGTCCGACGTCCTCCGACGGATCGGAGGACGAATTTCGCTCGCGTGCGTCCTTTCCCGTTCCCGAAGCGGGAATCCCTCATCCCGCTTCGGGACGTCTCGCTCTCGGATCGCGCCGACGATGCTCGCCACGTTCACGCCGGGAAATGGGGTCGTCGTTCGTGTTGCAGCGGTTCAACGAGGTCGAGTGCCCCCGTCCCAACACGGCGGGATGCCGGGACACTTCGCCCTCACGAACGGGGAAGCCCTCAACGGACACACCTACCTGAGTTCCTACATCTCGCTGCTGCTGAGGGCCGAACCCTACCCGACGGCTCGGTACGGCCAGTGCATGCAGACGTCCAACATCATGGGGATCGACAACATCTGCGAACTGGCGGCTCGGCTCCTGTTCAGCGCCGTGGAATGGGCTCGGAACATCCCCTTCTTCCCGGACCTGCAGGTCACGGATCAGGTGGCCCTCCTGAGACTCGTCTGGAGCGAACTGTTCGTCCTGAACGCGAGTCAGAGCAGCATGCCGTTGCACGTGGCCCCTCTCCTGGCGGCGGCGGGTCTTC